TTACTAGCGCATGCGCAGAAGCGCGGCATTTTCCGGTCTTGAAAGGCTCGCATCACTGCTGCCTACTTAAGTTAATACAACCAACCTAACTCATAAGTTAGTAAAATTACGGGTACAGTTTCTTAACTGGGGTATGCTAATAGCGATTGAAACTATATAGAATTGGAAATATTGATTAATAATCGATATTTTTAAATATATCTAAGTTTATCATAAAATTAAACCATCATAACCTAACCTAACCAACCAAACTTGCTGATAGTGAAAAAATAGCATGAAGGTTTACTAATCGAAGTCCTTAAGGATAACTGTTCTTTCCGAATGCCTTAAGGATGGGAATAGGCCTAGGCCTATTAACAGTCATTAGTCTATACTATGGCTATGTGAAAAGGCATGTAAACAGCCAGTGTTTGTATGGGTTTTACTCCAGATCATTAAGGATTCTCAGAATGAAACACTGTAATGAAAAGCAATTAATTACTATTATAACTGCTACTCAACTATTTTTGATCAAAAATAGTTTACACAGTCACAGGACAAAGCTTAGATTTTGTAATGAATTTGTGATATTTTTTAAGTGTATGAATGTGACACCCACACTTTCTTATCAGTATAAATCTCTAGCCTGTGTTAGGGAATTAAATTGAGACCTAACTCTGAAAAATTAAAAAAGTTAATTGTAAACACTTTGAATAGGTAACTTATAGGTACTTACTGTTGGCTGTTGACAAAGAAGAGGGACATTACTGAGATACTGAGTTGTTTATCGTCTAGAGATCGATCACGACGATCACACTTTGCTCATTAAAACTCAAGTATAAAATTAATACTAAATTAATTAATTATCTTACTTTCAAACAGGTCGTCTTAAGAAGGATTGACTTTACTTTAGTAACCAATCAAAATGTCCAAAAACTCCAAGTCTCCAATCAGAAATCGAAGTAATAAGAGATCCTCTGGTTGGATGGTTGAGCTGGATCGTAGATCGTAGTCGTGAAAGTCGTGTTTCTTTCGTGTTCGTGTTGTGGCTATCCTGTCCTGACTTTTTTTTTCTCAGTGATGTGAACGTGATGCACTGAGCTAAAATTATAACTGGAGGTAGCACTGCCATGGCAGAAGTCTGTCAAAAGCGTGTCGCTGATTTTGTTAGGTTGGTATAGCAGTAAGTTTTCTTATCATAGCAATGACATGGCTTCTTATAACTAGGTTGGTATAGCAGTGAGTATTTTTGTCATACTTGAATACTTTTAATACTTTAATAATTTTCTTTGAAATGGCGACCATACAAAGTAGGTATTTTAAGCCAAGTATAATAATAGTTATAGCAATAATATGGCTTCTTATGACACCAGACTCACGCAAACATGGCGGCTGGCGACACGCATCTTTGACATTCAGTGCTACCTCCAGTTAGAATTATAGCTCAGTGACGTGATGCTATCAGGACAGGAACCCTTCTAATCACCGGCGTACAAAATACGAGAACAATAATATTTCGATGCTCCATGACATCAACTAAATTTTGTAACTAGACCAATTCATGAGTTTTGAAAATATGTGTTGGTTTAAGTTTTATAAGTAAGTATACGCTATTTTATTCAGATATAACTCCTTAATATTAAAGAAAAACCTATATTTATTACCGTGTCTTCGTCTATGACCGGTACATTTTTTCCTGTAAATATCTATTTATTGAATTGTATAACTGCATATTTATTTATTAATTTAAGATTACAACTATCCGTTATAAATCATTTTTGTAATGGTCTTTAACCGTTGGAATGGAAATAAAAAATAAAAATAGACCAGTCAGGGCCGAAATAGATACAGCGTCAAACGTAAAATAATAAACTCCTTGAATGAAAATTTATACAGTAGACTCCCTCTCTCTTATCCGGACACCTTTTAACCGGACATAGGATTTGGTTTAACGGAACTACACTTGGCGTAAATGTATTTTTTTTAACTGGACAATTTTTATCAGCACATCGGTTTAACCGGACTTGATTAGCAGGAAGTGGGGCGGTACTAAAACGACTGTTCTCGCGGGAATAAAGATTTGACACAAGCGATCACGTGTATAAACACAATGCTCTCCTAAATTTGATTTAGGTACAGTGGAACCTTGATAACAAGACCCTCGATAACAAGTTACCCTTGATAAACATAGTGTCATTTTCAAACTCCCTAGAATTTATTTTACCCTTTAATTAAATGTTATTGCAAACCTCGATAAGAAGTCAACCTTGATAACAAGTCTTATTTGATAATCCCAATGAGAGTCTTGTTATCAAGGTTCTACTGTATTTGGGTTGCACGCATTAAATTTACCGTTTTGACGAGTTTTTGGGGGCGTCTGCTTAACCGGAAAACCCGTTACCCGGACTGGCCTCGGTCCCGGGGAGTCCGGATAAGAGGGAGTCTACTTATAACTTTTAGTTTTGATTATATGACGGTGGATAGTCAATAGTTATCTTAATCTTATGGCTTATCCCATCCATTAAGGATTTGAGGTGGTCTGGAAGTGGGTTAAAGAAACGTGACCCTGTATGTAGGGGAGTGTTACTGGATTTTTTAAGACGGTGTTGAGGTAGGTCTATGTCTGATCTATGTCTGGCGAAATGAGTTTTGTCGGAGAAGTGGTGAGGAGTTGTTTGCGAGGATAATTGTTTCGAGGATATAGGTTGAGATTATGTGAGATTATGTGATTATAATGAGGATATGGTGTTTTTGAAAATATGGCTTGCAGTGTTCCAAGGGGTCCTCGGTCCTCCAGTCTCAGTATTGATATCAATGCCCCCATCTGTAAACGAGAATTTTGTTGTGGTTGCTGCTATCCCCATATGAGGTGATTCCGAATTTAATGTGTGACAATTACGATATGATAAAAGTATAGTGGATAGATTTGTATTAAGTATAATAAAAATAATATATTTATTCAAAGGAAACGTTTTGTTTATTAATGTATACAGTAAATTGATGATAATAAGATGATAAGACCCATACCTTCCAAAGATAAATATGTGCAAGAGACAACAAAAAATTAAAATATAATAGCAAAAGTCAACAAAATAATTTTGCCATTGCCATTATTATCCAAATCACTATCATTGTCATGTTTCTTCTTAAATTCTTTTTGATATAGACAGCTAAGTTAAAGTTGTGCTTGTAACTGTTCACCAATAGTGCGTTTACCACACAGTTCACAGCAGAAACCAAAGTCCTTTCGATCCTACCAGACACATAATTAATACAATTAATGTAATTTACCACAAGAAATTCAGAACTTCTTTTTAAAAACATTCCAAGAACAAAATAGTAAAGAAAGCTAAGATATGTCTTATCAAACAGCTAAGTGAACAGAAGCGGGAGCGGGAGAGCTGATAGCTAAGCAAAACAGACGACAGACATACGTCGTCAAGAAAAACTAGGTGGTTCTTCTTTATCAGTGGCCAGGTTTTTTGCTTTACTGCAATAAGTGAATCAGTCAGTCACTAGTAAGGCTGTAGACGCTTGTCCCCCAAACATGGGTTTGAATCATTGACTAAGGAAACACACAACTTTGTTTCCCTTGTCTGTGGTTTCAATGTTTGAACGGCTAGCCGTAGAGGAGTTTATGTCCCTTAAGGCCCGTATTAGGGTCTGACTTAGGGGAGGTACGAATGAGGCATTTAGTTCAAAATTCCTCCGTGAACAGCGCTGTAGTAGAAAGCACTTTTGGCAATGAAGGTTTACTAATCGCAAAAATGGTTCTGTTCATAAAATAAAATTATAAATGTCTCAAATTCAATTTTATTATTTTTTAATTATAAAATTAAACTATCATAACCTAACCGAACTAACCAAACTTGCTGATAAAGAAATAATATAACAAAAGTTTAGTAATCGGAAAAATAATTCTGTTTATTAAATAAAACTAGAATTTTCTCAATTAAAATTTTGTAATGACTTAATAACCAACCAAACTTGCTGATAATAAAAAAATCTTGGACAAAAAGTTAATACTTCCAGCAGGATTTGAACCCGGGACCTTCAGTATATCAGCCCGGCACGCTAACCATTAGACCACCGAGGCCGATGCTAACCGACCGTTTTGTTACGGTAATGGCGTTCCCTCAGCTAACAAGAAGCCCACAGCTGTCATCGTAGCCTCTTCTATACCTCCCCTGAGTAAATACCCCCGTATTACACTATCATAGTTCTATGACATATATCTATTATCATATGTCTTTGATGAAAATTATTACAGTGTAATGTACCAACTATTATAATGGTTTTGAACTATGATAATATGTTCTCCTTGAGAGAATCAGTCACGCTTTCTCACACTTTACTACTTATCAAGAAACACCACACAATAATATAATATATTTATACGAGGTGATGGCCTCCTTATAAATTATTAATTAAATTATTATAAAACAGTCTTATTTGCCCGTATTTACCGTATTTGCCGTATGAGGGGTTCAGTAATGGTTGTGGTCACAACAATATTCATTTGTTGTGTTAACCTTTTAATACGGTTATTCATATTGTACCTATGTACAATAGGTTAGTCATTTCGTGACATTGTTGTTTTAAAGCCTCAAAAAGAACCAGGCTACTTGTAATAGCCTATTAGTTCACCAGTTCATCTGTAACTTAGGCCTAAGTTAGCCCAGCTTATAACATTAAGTTGTTTAATTTATAGGTCACATATAAATTTATATAGAAAATGATTATTGACGATAATATAATATGTCATAGAACTATGATAGTGTAATACGGGCCTTAATAACTCCTTATTGAAAATCAAAATGCATAGACCATAAAAAAGAACGTATTTTGTTATTAAGGTCTTAGTTTAATTTTGTATGAATGTAAACCTATTCATACACACTATATACTATATTATGTAGGTATGAGTTACTTTCATTCTGTTTTCCGTGGCAGGGCTCCTCTTTGTTCTATTCCCTCGTTTATTTTCCCTTTCCATTTTCTTCTCGCTCTCGCTGCTCTTTTATGCGTTGTTGTTTGTTCTTGTGAGGCTGGTTCCTTGACATTTATCAAGTTTTAATGTGTTAAAGTGCCGATGCACGTTTGTTTTTATTTGCTTTGTGCTAAATAGTAAGACCGTTAGCATATTTTTCAAAATTTCAGTTGATTTTCTTTGTATTATCCCTGTTCTAATCGCGAACGTCAGTAGTAGATTTCTCCTGAAATCGGCCATATCCGAGCGGCCATTTTCTTAATCCTGCTTCATGGTTCACAATGAGTGATTATTCAGCGGTCGCTCCGCCACAGAATTTTAGTCAAAGTTCTGCTTTTGCTGCTGCTCTACAACGTGCAAAACAGGTAAAATCTTGATAGTTAACTTTTTAAACTCTTATCGGCTTTTTCTTTGTCTTACTTGACCAAGCTTGGTTATATTTAGTAGGCCTACGACTTCCTCATCATGATGGCAAAGCCCATATCCTAATTTTTGTCGTGATGTAAGTTAATTGGTATATTCTTAATTCTTATGCATTTTGGTTACTAATTTTAGTTCAATGTTCAACACATTTAAGTAGGAGTAAGTTAAAATGATTATTGAAACCAAGCTGGATAAAGGCAGCTTTAGGTCTGAATCAAGAAATTCAAGGCCATAGACAAATCTTGGTTCTGGAATGGTTCCCAGGCTTAGGCCTAGGTCTAGTTAATTTAAAACAGGACCTGCCCAGGAGAGGAGCGTGTAAAAGGTTTTTATAAACCCAAGTTGTTGTATGTCTATAAGTAAAATAAGATTGGATTAAAAATAGGCTAGGGTAGGCTCGATAATTAGTTGAAGTTAGGTCTGAGTCTTGAAATCCTTATTTTAGTTAGCCTAGGCCTACTTATAAGTCAACTTAAGTTGAACTAAGGCATAATCCAAGCCATTTTTCCGTAGGCCTACTGTCTAGTGATTGTTGGCCATTTGTTACCAATTTCGAAAACAGCTGTTTTCATAAAATCGTACCGGTTGTCCAATCGATAACTTAATGTAGGTATTTCGTTCTAAATATCACGAAGTTACCACAATGAAGATAAAATCAATAGGTATCCAGTGGTACCACCCGCAACATCCTAAGACGAAAATTAAATTTAGGTACTTACCCAAAGTTAATGCCAAACAAGTTGTGTTTTGCCAGTTCCCAAGTGTCGGCTGCAAAAGTCGTGCCACTCTAAAAATTCATTTGATCTCTAATTCTCGTGACATTGTTAGGCTACCTGCTGTAGGGTTTGTTTATTAATAAAATAAAGTTCAGAATGTGATCTTTCGAATGGTAGGCCTATATAGCCTAGGGTATTGTTCTCATCTGAGTGGATTATAAGTGTTTTTTTACTGTTAAAATTATTTTGGCCCATACCATCGCCTTACTTACGATTGTGGCCATTCTAAGCATCAACGGCGAACGATCGTCCCGCGATCGCTGGCCACTGCTAGGGTTAAAGTAGGTTCATTAACCTAAACTTTATCTTAACATGGCCTTATTTAACCTTTTAACTTAGAAGTTAGCCCTACCTACGGTCACAAATTCCCATAACTTATATTAAACCCCTACCGCCCACCCTGACAAGCCTCAAAAAGAACCAGGCTACTTGTAATAGCCTATTAGTTCACCAGTTCATCTGTAACTTAGGCCTAAGTTAGCCCAGCTTATAACATCCATAATGCGATGAAATTCCCTTTTAAAAAACTTCAACTTAAGTTATTGACTAAGTTACAAAAGCAGTTGAAATATTTCTTTAGTCAATTACCTAGCCTAATTCGTTAATCAACATTCTTCAGTCGTTGAAGTTACTGCCATTAAGCCCCTTGCCGATGACAGAATCAGAGTTAAGTTTAAGTTAGGCTTAGTTAACAACCAGCTGTAGGTCTACTTATCCGGAATTCATTCCTCTTGTAAGATAATAGTGTCAACCCAACACGTTTCATACAATAAACATTTTTAAGTAGGCCTACCTAAATTAGCTGCACTCAACATTTTGTAATTTTTATGAAACTTTTATACGGTAAAATGTTTCTAGGTAAGTAGGCTACGGTACTGTACGGTAACTTAACAGAAATCTCATGCAAGTAGCCTATTGAAAAATTATTTCCCCTTTGGGTTTTTTTTTTGGCTGCCACCTTTGTTTAAGTTTTAAGTATGTACCGGTAGGCTAATGTGAAACATGTGTTTTTTTGCATAAATCGTCCTTTTTACTAAGTTTTGATGTTAGATAACCTTTTTTTCTTACCTATAAGATATCAGGACAAATTAAAAACCAAGATATTCAGCATTAAATGGGCTTCAAATTTATATAGGCCTACAGTAGACTCCCTCTAGTTCCACCTCGGGACCTGACTAGCCTACTGGCCGGACCACAAAATGGCCGGACTAACCGAATGTAGTAGAACCTCAATTATCCGGCATAATAGGGGGAGGGAGACCACGGATAACTAAAAACCTTGGTTAATCTAATGTGACCTAAACATTTTATAGGCTTATTACATACCGGTGGTATACATAAAAACGCCTAATAGGCCTACTGTTAATGGATGTTAATGTAATAATTAATTTGCATTTTACATCATAAAACACGGGTACACTTCCATATCTGTTAGCACAAACAACCGAATGAGTAATATAGATTATTCGATTGTTTAATTCGATATATCGTTTGGTTAGTTAGGTTAGGTTAACCTTACCTAACTAACCTATCGAATAATCGATATATCGATCGATATTTTCATTCGGTGGTTTGTGCCAACAGATATGGAAGTGTACCCTCAAACACAAATAGTAGGCCTACTGTATTGTGCAATTTCGTGATATGTTAAGTCATTAACCTTGGTTTAGTAACTTACCAGTAATAAAAATTGTAACGTTTTAAAATCACGCCTACTCAAACAAAACAACAATTACAAAACACTGTTCAGCAATAAATCACATAAAGAACAGAACGGTAGAAAGTCTAGTAAGCTAACTGCTACATTGTCAGCATAGGCTCCTACTACATGTTGTTTCAGAACAAAAGAATGTCAATAAAAACATTAGCTATCTTATAAAACAGCATAGGACAATCATAGTACTTAGTCTTAAAGATAATAACAACAGTTGTAAAATAAGATAAAGATAACAATGGATGACGTAAAACACCGCTTATTCTTTCTGTTTGTTCTTCATATTCTTTCTTTGGTTTCTCTTCATACAGTTTTGCACAAACAAAGATGGCCGTCACAAAAAATTCTGAGGGGAAATAATTTTTTGAATAGAGGAAAGTAGGGTGACAACCCATAGTGAGACTTGACCCAAGGGTAATTTCCCTATAAAGGGAAATCTATCTCAGGTCAAACTGGAAATACTGTCATTCAGTTCCCTTCATTCATGAGTAGTTTTGGAAGGACGTGGGATTCCAGTTTTGAATTTCCTTTGTTTTCAGTTGGAGCAAGAAGGTTACATAAAAAGTAGATTTCCAATGTTCAAATCTATTAGGTACCTGTATATTTATTCTTTAGTGTTTAATGGCAGGTGAATTTGAATTTAATGGATTTAAATATTCTTTCAAAATGCTAATTGACAAATATTATTGTTTTCAGATTGCAGCTAAAATCAACCCTAGTCTTGCCAACGAAACAGGAAGCAAAAGGCCATTAGAAGATAACTCTGGTGAGTGGTGAGACCAATAAGATTATAAATTTTTCTCTTAGCATGTTTTATCTTGAAAATGTAGATGTTTTGCAACCTAATTGGACCTGATAGCAATGCTTTACGCATCTTGACAATCTGTTTGTGTAGATTATAATTTTAACATCAGTTAATGAAACTTAAATTTTAAATAGACTACTTGTGGTTCCTTAGTTTAGCCATTAATTTTTACATAAAAAGTAATCAAGATACTCTGCTCACCTTTATTTACTTAATCTTATTTGAACTTAAGGGGAGTCGCTACTGAAAAACTACCAATTTTGTAAAAAACTTGATTTTTTTTATTATTTTTTTATCTTGTTCTATGGATTGTAAGGTTTCAGAAAAACATAACATTTGGTATAATATATATTTTTTTCACTGTGAAAAAAATATTTGAAGTGAAGTGCGCACACCTCTTTTGGGGCATCAACTAGGCCTAGTATAAACCAACGTATAAACTTCAACCGCTGTTTTCCGCGACTTTAAATTTTTTTTTTTTTTTATATATAAGTTCTTATAACTTTTTAACTATTGCAGCTATATGAATGAAATTTTTACCACACATTGTTTATACTATAATTCAACTTTCTGTGCATGGATATTGTAATTGGGTAAATAAAAGTACATGAAAAAAATTTATAAAAATTTATAACCTATAAATTTTTCAAAAACTTATTTTTGAAGCCATAACTTATAAACTAATTGAGAAAATAACATGAGTATGCACAGAAAGTATGTGCTTTCCTTGCTCTTTAAAATAAGATATCGAACAATAAAATTGGTTCAGTAGTTAAATAGTTATAAGAGATTTAAACATTGTGTATTTATAACAGACGGACCGGAGGCCAAAAAAGTGGCCAGTGAGAGTGGTGCAGGGAGAGGAAGCAGTGCAGCAGCAGCAGCGGCGGCTCAGGCGGCTGCGGTAGCAGCTAGAGTGGCGGCCGCAGCAGCTGCCGGTATCCAGGGGCTGGGCGTACCCGGCCTTGCTCTGGGACCTGTTACTAATGAAGACATCCGGGTGCCCGACAAGATGGTCGGCCTTAGTGAGTCATTCATTACTGACATATAATAGTTTACCTTAATACTCATTAAGGTTAAATGAATTAAAAAATTATTTTGAAGAGATTAGTGTTACAAGTAGGAGGCCTACATTCCTCCAAAACTAAAAAATCTGGGAATTGTTATTGAGTTTTTATGACTCCCTGAAAATAACTAAGAATTGTACGTGGATAAGTTTAAGAATTGATAAAGAAGTAGACTAAATAAAAATTGGCAAAAAATCATTTTCCTGGTAGATTTCTTAGATATTTTATGTTTTAATTGTGGGCCTAAACTTGAATTTGACGTGTGGATTTTGATCTCAAGGATTTAGTTCATGATAATAGTTTTCTGGATTTGATAACAATTAATGTTGTTTGTTAAATAAATTATGATGGAATAACTATCAATACCAATGTAAAAATGTTTGTTCAGATTTGGTTTTACTCAAGTTGAAGTTAGGTTCTTTGAACGCTTTTTATTGTACTTTTTTTATCTGGAAAACCTTTAGTCGCTCTTGTCATTTATTTTCATAGCATACCGAACATTGATTCCTAGACCATATTTAAGATGTGATGTTTAGTGGAGGTGTGCAAGCCTGAGATTTTCTTGAGACATAAGATTTTTTTAACCGAGCTTATTATACATTGAATTTAAAATAATGTAAATTTTAAATAAGTTGGTTTGTCTTAAGCTGTAGCTAACAATTTCTTTAATTAAGATAATCGTTATATTGAAATGTTAGTACCTACCCCTTTTTGCTTGTTAAATTTAAATTTGACAATATTAAGGTACCTGCGGTTAATGGCAGGTCTATAATTTAGGAATCATAAATTGGTCTAATTTGTATTCAAATGATTGCGTCAATAGTGTGATCATTTCCCGCCATTAAGTAGACATTATCATTGTCCCCAATGATCGAGAGTAAAGTGTCAATTTTTTGTAAACGCCAACAACGTTATAAATGCTGCATCTTGGTAACTTTTGTTTTTCCCTGATATAATTTTTAAATGCTTTTAAGTAGTTTTTTCATCAATTTGCTTGATTTTATTTAATAGTCAAAGTAGTAGTATTTGTTGGGTTTTTTTTTCAAAAGTGTACTGGCCCACGAAATTGCAAAAACAGAATAGTAATAGGCTTCTGCTTGACACTTTCACTAGTCCTTCACTTTGGACTAAGTTTGGTTTAAGTTTTCCCCAACGATTCTATCTCTAAATGGCAAACTCTAATTGCCCCCAGTTATAGGCCGGGGCGGGGAGCAAATAAGCAGGCTTCAGTCGGAATCTGGATGTAAAATTCAAATGGCACCTGACTCAGGCGGCCAACCAGAGAGAGTCTGCACGCTCACCGGCAACGCACAGGCAATCAGGTAATACGCATTGACTTTCAGAGGTAGAGTAAAGGTGCTGTATTCATCACATAAAGATTTTTTCATTAATCGTAAAAATTAAGTTAAAGGAACTAAAACAATATGCTACCCATATCCTATATTAGCTATAATACCCCGCCGCAGCAAACCGACAGACTAAGCGAATTTCCATTCGCATGTATTGATATAGCCTATAATTAAATCCATTCAAATTACATTTAGTATGAGTACTTAGGTTTGCTGCTACAGGGAGGCTAAAGTGTTTTTAGTCAAATATAGCTTGGTATAAAACAATTAAGTTTGCCAAGTTTGATCTAAATATATCCATAAACAAGCAAACTACAACATTTTACAATATTCTCCCTAAGAATAACATGGGAATTTTAAATTTACAATTTTTTAAATTTTCTCTAACCCAATAACCACAGAAAAACACTTCAATATACAAAATTATTTGTCTTTTTAAGCTCTTTAAAATGGTCTTGAGAGAAATTGGGAAATGTTGTGTTTTGATGGTCAAAAAGGAGAAAAACCAATTTTTACCCCATAAAACCCCGTTCCCATGGTCCGATCATGCTCGTTCACGAACTCATTCAAGTTTATCCTGCCTTACACCTTCAAACAAAATTTCATCAAACTCAAACAAAAATTGTTTAAGTGTTCACGGACACACACGTACACACACATTTATATATATTTAAAAACTTGGACGAATGGTGTTTTTGGCCTCTGGGGCCGTCAAAATAAATAGCCTAAGTAAATTGGCCCCGGGCTCAAGTTTTACCATGAGACCTATGGTAATAGTTACTTCCTTATAGAGAAAATGCGCTAAAATCAGCCTACTCAATGTCTAATGCATAAAAATATATCAACATAAAGCAAATATTTGAGTATGATTGTAGATGTAAAACAAATATTCTCCCATCAGCACAAATTGGCATACTTTAAGTACAATGCATAAACTTAAACTATATAAATATTCTTTGTTGATGGTTTTACGTTCAACTTTTTTACCTGTTATTTTAATTATTGCAATCAGTTTTCTATCTTATAGTTTCTCACAAAAATTGTTACACAAATCTATGTTTTTAATTATTTGTGCACAAATGAAAATCATGCTTTTTTTGGGATAAAAAAAAAACATCAATCTATCGTCCTTTTACCATGATTTTCAGTCGAGCCAAAGAATTGATAAATGCCATCGTGCAGCAGAGGAGTAGAACAGAAGGAACGGGAGGTGCCAGATTAGACGATATGAACATGGGAGGTCCACCAAGCTCGCATGTAAGTACCAGTCTTTCAATGTCAGGTTAGGTTAGGTCGGCACAATGTCCAGTGATGTTTAAGTTCATCCTTGCTCGCATATTCCTTTTTGAGGAAAGTGACGATAAACTACTTGGCCATAATACCTGAGGACATTTATCATTGTGAGTAAAGTTACGTTAATTTTAAAGTTTACAACTATTGGTCTGGAGTGTTATGTGTTGAGAATAGTTTTCAAAGAATTTCCTCTTTATCTTTTATTCAAACAAAATTTAGAAAGTAGCTGTGTTACCTTCGTGTACTTAACATCAGAGAATTTATATTTGTTTTTTATACTTTGGTTGCATGGTGCACTAATGATGTTCAACAGATTAATTTTTAAATAAAATTAATTTACTTATAGAAAAATCAGTCATCAATTAAGTTTGGATTGTAATAATGATTGTATAGAGTTGTGATGATATGTTTGGTTTCTCAAATTGTAAAGCAATGTTTAAAGGTTGTATTCGCTCTATTTTCAGTTCTAAGTGCTTTTAACTTGCACAGGTGTGAGTTGTTTTGAGACCTGGGTGATTGCCACCTTATCATATAAGATAATTAGTCTCAGTCAGTATATGAATTTCTTAAAACCTTTAGTTAGGCCCCTATGTATTACATTTTTTAACACTTAATAACGTTGTGTTAATTTTATCACCAAACAATTTTGAAGGTGATGTTATCAAATTTAATTTTTGCAAGTTTTGTTTTTAATTTGTACTGTCCAAAAATTCTGTGAACCATGAATCAATTTAAATATTGTGAGTGTAGTTTGATTTTTCACAGACCGATGATGATGATGGCCCTTCCAACATACCGCCCTTCCCGTTCGGCAACAGAAGTATGGTAAGTGTTGAGATATTTTTATCAGAACGTGCTCTGTAAGATTAAATTTATTGTACAACTTTTAATTTTGCAATACAAAACATTATTCAAAGAATGTTAATATAGAACTGGATACTATCAATAACTTTTGCTTAAGATGATTAAGGTAGGCTTAGACCTGGCATATTTGCATGCTCCTTTTGTTAATCACTTTAATTTACATTTGTGCTTTTTCTTATAAATATATCTTTATTGTCACATGACATTTTCATAATTACATAACAACAGCTACAAAAACAGGTGACATTGTCAATATAATCATAATAGCATAGACAAATAGAATAAATATAGACCGTCAGCTGTGCTGCGGTTAGCATAAGTTCTGGTGTCCACCGCTAGGTTTGCTGTGTAGCTACGGCGCACACCGCTGCAGCGGCCCTGCTGGTCGCGTGTGCGCCATAGCTACACGGCACTCCTAGCGGTGAGCACCGGAAGCTTCCTTTGACAGTCTATATTTATTCTATTTGTCTATGATAATAGGCAGGCCTGCCTAAAATAAGAGAAAAAAATAATAAAAACAAAGATTCTCGGAAATAATATTTTGTCTTAAATGTTTTTAAACTAAAATAATTAAAAATTACCATTAGCACTGAAATATAATTTGTTTACAACAAATTAAATAAATTATATGTACTTGTCATAAGTTGTCCTATAAAACAATAAAATAATTGGTAATTCAGTAATTACCAAATATTTTTCTGGTTGAACAAATAGAATTTGTGAACACTTAGTTCAACAGTGAACAAATAGTTTTTCTATGTCAACAATTTAGAACAGTATTCCTAACTTTAATAACTTTATTAATATAAATTTTAAAATGTTTGATGTAGGCCTACATAGGCTACTTGTAAAATGTATCTTTACATTTTGCAGTTTTTTCCCCATATTTTGCAATTGTTATAAGAGGTTTCTTGGAGAAAATCGCAGAATAACTATCTAATCGTTAGGGGTCTGCGGGTCCCCGATTTTTTCGGGTCGGGTCGGGCCAGTGGAAGGCCCGAGAGACCGGGTCGGGTCAGAGATTTGTTTGGGCCAAGACCGGGTCGGGCCAAAAAAAATAATTATTAGGCTATTTTTAAAGTTATAATAAGTAATTTTCAAAGAAACACTCTTATATACATTATTACAGAGGAATTAAAATGTTAAAATTAGAATTAAATATTAAGTTTGCTCACGTTTAAGAACAAAGACACAACAGAGCAATTATTGCCTTACTGTCACTAGCCAAGCCAGAGCTAGTCGTCTACTGACAAAACAAAAGCCGTGATGCAACAGTGCAAAGAAAACAAAGTCAAAAGAAAGACTATTTATCCAGAGGTACCAGTTTAATTATTTATTGTTTATTCCATACCTAGTTTAAATTATATTTTAGTATTTTATTTACATAATAAATTATAAACAAAAGAAATATCTGATATAGTGTACAGATCTGTATCTTGTTCTTTTATTTTCCTATTGTCCTTTTTGTCATTCAGTAACAAAACAAAACAACACTTCTGATCGTCTGGTTCGGCATTTTATGGTCACCATTTAATTTTTTTTTTAAGTATCAAGTATCAACAAGTCTACAAAGAGGTTAGGCCTAAATATTTTATAATTTTATGAAAGTTTTCATCAGTAAAATTATTTTTTTCTTAAGTTAGATTGAGTTTCAAAAAAGATATTTCTAAGATCCAATACAATATTTACAAGACACAAACTACCATGAATTAATTTCTTTGGAAATTATCTGTAACAGTTTTATATTTTTGAATAAAGAAAATATATCTTTTTGTCTCTACTTCCTTGTTTTGTTACTTGTATTTTGTCAGCAATTGGAACAACCGGGTGGTGTAATAGGGGCGGGGGAGGGGGAGGGTCTATGACCTTGAGTGTCCCCGGGCCTGGCTCTGGTTGTGTAAGATGGGAGGGGAGGGGAGGGGGAGGGTCTGTAACCTTGAGTGTCCCCGGGCCCGGCTGTGAGAGTGATTCATGGTTTTTTGTTTACATTCTACTACCCTTCCTTCCGAGAAAAAGACCCTACAGTTTCAAAAACATTGACTTACAGTATAAAAACATTGAGTTGTGTTGCTAATTAGGGCACTATAATGTCTCTGCTGTCTGCTTATGTTGCCAAATTAGCATTTAACTTTCTTTTCTCTTGATTTAATATAATTTTCTATATATTAAGAGTTCCTTTTCGGGTACCTAATAATTGTGACATTGTTTGACTTGAGTTTATGGATTTTTAATTCTTTTCATTTATTAGCTAAAATCAGTTGTTTTAGGATTTTAATCTCTTGCAATACCTATAACTGTGCCTATAACTGTGTATGACATGATATGCAATTTTTCAGTCTTTACTATAACTATACCATAAACAATGTATGTGTGTTATTTATTGTTTTAGAGTTTTATAGTAAATTAGTTTACACAATATCTTTTCTTCAATGAGTTCTCCACTTGTTATGTTGCTTAGTCTATTACTATTTTAGGCCCTATAAAAAATAATTCCTATGTAAAGCTGTAGGCATACTAATGCCAATAATAGATAATTCTTTATTTATGATGATGTAACTAATAATGCTATTGTAAGTGTGAGAGGAGGTTAGGAGGCAGGGAATGAATGATTCATATTGCATGGTGGAAACATAGAATTTTTATTTTCTTCTTGATTGCAGTCTTGAAGCCACAGGCCCTAAACTTGTGATAAGGTTAATTGATTTGTTTATGATCCATTTATATTAAGTTCCATTACAAACTTGTTGTAATATAGCTGTTTAGATATTTCAACAGTTATGAAAATGGGAAAGAATGGCTTGATAAAAAAATTATTTTCTTCTTTCTTGCAGTTGAGGCAACTCCTAAGCTGTAAATAAGTTATGAACATGAAATAATATACATAACTACAATATTTTTCCATATGTTATTTTCAAGTAATTTTATAAACACAGATAGGAGTTAAAAAAAGAAAAAAAATCCGGTAATTAATAATTTTTGGCCCGACCCGATTTTGGCCCGAAACCCGAGGACCAAAATTATTGGCCCGACCCGACCCGACCCGAACCAAAAAAGTCTGACCCGCAGACCCCTACTAATCGTATGAGGTAGAATAACAAACGTAGTATTTGTTACGTTTTTTAAAAGGTGGAGGCTAATGAATGTAATATTTAAATTAGTAATATCAATATCCAAGTTCTTTATGCTTTTATTTTGTTTTATAGATATTCTTACTGTAAAAAAGTGAAATAGCTTTAGTACCTAGGCCTATAATAAATGTTTTTAATAAAATTTTAATTTTTCACAGAAGGATGACCGAAATGATGATGGCCCTTCCAATAAAATGCCTTTCCAATTTGGCAACAAAACTACAGTAAGCGAACCTAGCTATTAATTTGTCTTATTAATGTCTTAGTGGGCCTTTTGTTGCAACAATATTGAAATATTTACTTGATTTTCATTTTTAAGTAGTATTAGTCATTTTCAAATAATTATGGCATGTATGAATGTATTTTCTATCAAATTTTCTACTAAAGTAACAAAGTTGTCCAGGTTGGAATAACTTAACCAATAGCAAAATTTCAATGATTGGAAACAAACCTGGTTGGTCTGTATTAAGTGTAATGTGAATAGATTGAACAATATTAGTTTCGCTTTAGGCCTAACTAATCTATTGCTACTGATTAACGTTGGATGAAAAATTCTTCACTACCAGATCAAGCTTAGCCATTTAGAATTTTTATTCTTTTGTTTGATATGTTGAAATTTTGCCTCTTGTCGATGGTGAGGGGTCTTTAGTGTTTAGTTGAAAGATGGTTAGAATTACTTTATCAAGATTTTAAAGATTGCCTTGCATGAGCAATAATGTTGCCATGGGGTTAACAGCTAAAATATGGTTGATATCTTTCTTCTTGAGGACTTTCTAAAAGACTAATTTTTACAATTCATCCATTTAATTCCTAACAGTTTTCTCTGTAGTAAGCTATACATACACTCTTAAGGTATGAGTGTATTTATCCAAATCCTTGTATTTGATGTATATTTTAACTTACCCCTCCTCCGATGGTCTCAAATATTCTTATTTGATAGGCTAATTCCTTTCTCTAAAAGCTCCTCAATTAGACAAATGTATTTTCCTTTTGATTTGTTCAAAGGATTACGGTAGTATTTTATTAAATCCTTTTTGTTTTACAGGTCGAAATAATGGTACCTGGCCCTAAAGTGGGACTAATAATAGGAAAAGGTGGTGAGACAATAAAACAGTTGCAAGAAAAATCTGGAGCCAAAATGGTCGTAATTCAAGATGGTCCTTCTCAGGAAAATGAAAAACCTCTACGGATAACTGGAGAACCCCAGAAAGTGGAGGTGAGGAAGAATTTCTGTAACTTTTTTGAATACAGCCTATTATTAGTACAATACTTCAGTTATCACTTGTTTTCTGTATAAAATAACCAGTTTCTGCCTTTTCCATTATTGTATAAAAAGGGAGGCTGATTAAAATTCACTTGTAAAATTAAAGCATTTTGAAATTTCTAGAACAACTTTCACAATGTTGAGTAGAGAATTATGTTAAAGCATCGAATAATTTCGTTTTGCAGTACTTGATTGTTTGAGTAAAAAAAAACTAAGGTATTCTATAAGTAACTTGCTGTGATTATTTTCCACTTTCAGTTAATTGACTAGAAGCTTAAAAAAGTTAAAAATGTATTATACATCTGTTAGGCCTAGGGCCTACTAACTTGATTTGTAATTTAAAATTAATGCATAATAATAATAAACAACACACTTTTGATACAGCATTCTTTTCCTGTATTCTGAAATAATGTTTTATTAATGTTTTTTTTTTTCATTTTTCAGCATGCAAAAGCCTTAGTCTATGAACTCATAGCTGAAAAGGAAATGCAGGTAATATTAGAATTAAAGTTGTAGTCAAAGGTAATTAATCTAACAACACAATTGGGGCTGGATGATATAAGTAACATTATTTAGTTATTTTATTCATAGATAGGTAGATGGGCTAGTCATTGTAAAAGTATAGTTTAGATAAGAAGATATAATGTTGGTACAGAATAACCAGATAAGAATAGGGAGCAGGCTTAAAAGCGTAAGATTTTATATTGGTCTGTCGGCTCTGAAAGTCAGAATCAAGAAGACACTTCGTCGCTGGACGTATTATTAAAACCACGCTTAAATAAACAGGTGAGTTATAACAACATTATATTTTTAAGTTCTATTTAAGTTATTATTTATTTTTATTAGTATGTGTAAACAGCTGATTTGTTTATCAAGTTTAAGTCCTGTTTTGTTTGAACCATATCGATTATAATTCACAAATTAATCATCATACCTTAAGATATGAAAAATAATATGTCCTTGTTAAACCTTTTCTCTGAACATTTTAAGGATTGATCCAGTTAAGTAATTATTCCCCTCCGAATTATTATTGTCTTTCAAATATGCCAAATTTTAGTTCATACAGTAGAACCTCGCTAATCTGACCTTGGCTAGTCTTAACTCTTCATTTAATCCGACCGTGCCATCGCCTATGGTTACAGTGTTATCGCGGTCGCCTAACTTAAAGCCGAACTGATTTAGTAACCATTTCCCATTGTTCTGTGGACATCATCACCTTCTCCCACAGTAGCGTCAAAAATCTTGTTACCCTCCACAGTCACAGAAATATCATAACGTTTGCCGCGATCTTGGCAAAATGTTGAATATTTTCTGCGGTAACGGATAAACAATCATTGTCTTCTGCGATCGCGGCAAAATCCTGAACCCTGATTATTGCTCCTCAGACCTTTTCACTGTTCCGCCCATGGTCCCGGTCCCATAGGTGACGTATTAGCGGGGTTGTACTGTACCTAACTGTAAATCAGTAGTTGTTGTTTGAAACTAAATACTAACAAACAAAATTTACAATAATGAAACAGCTAGATTGAATAATGTATTTCCTAGTATTTGTATCTATGTATCTTTCACTTTATAATGTTTATTGTACTTATCTGGTTTTCCTTTCAGTACTATTTTATATTTATTATACTATAACAAGTGATTTATCGATAGTTATCTAATCCTCAACTATCTTCTGTTTACAACTCAACTCGGTAATCAAAATTAATTTTTTAAATTGTTATTGGTTAAACCTGTAATAAAGTTGAGATGATGACTAATCGTTTTTGGCCTGCTTAACTAGACAAAAAAACATTATCCTGTAAATATAAACATTTTCTATAAAAGAAATTGTTACTTTTGTGGAAATAAAAACTGTAAATTATATATTTCCTACGCCTTAGGATTGAACACAGGTATGTTTCATACATTACTGTTGCACCCACAATGTCACTTCAAATGTGGTTTGTCCACTATTAAAACAAAAGAAATTGGTAGTACTGTAGTTGATATCTTCTGGATGAAAATTAAATAATCATCCAACATACAACCCAGCTATCACATGGCTACTTGTAAAACACAAACATCAAGTGGTACTTGAAACCTTTCTGTAGCCTACAAAATTGCATTGATGTATAATAACTCTACTGGATAGCGCGGTAGGTGGTGGAAAAACGGTCCGTGCCCACCAAACGAATTGGCAGGATACCGAGGCGGACGGGCCGAATGAACCTCTCTGTTTTACACAACCATACATTCACTCAACCTGTTCTGCTACACTTATTTGTTAACATAAAAATTTCAAATTGATATATTATTTTTCTGGAAAAACCAGTGCTCATTTCTATGTAGCTAGTTTTTACATTAACATATTTTTTATAATTTATTTAGGCAAATTAAAACATATGATTGTTTTTTAACACCATTAAAAACATGAAAAATGTAGTAAGCGAGGAACTTTTTTATTTTTTGGTCAGGAAAAAAATTCCTGCGGCAAAGTTTTAGATCAAAGTATGAATTTTATTTTTTATTTGAAGCTTTTTTTTTTATACGGAGCCTGCTTGTATCATTTTTAAGCGATTAAAAATAGGCATAAAATCGCTTAGCGCGGCATTGGCGCTAGGAGCTCGGCTGGCTCAGCATCAGTTTTCGGGATATAGAAACCGAGTTTCTAGCATTTAATTATCATTATATTACATCAAATATGTCATTACATTACGAAGAATGGTAACTAAATTTACAGGCATATGTTTATGCATTTTAATGCTTACCGGTAGTCTATAGTTAACAAAATTCATTGAATCAAAGAATAGATGTTGGATTTCACAGTAGTATTTAATACCTAAGAAAATATTTTGTCTTTATTTTACTTCAGTGGGAATAATGAATACATTTGAGATATTGGCATTAAGTATTATACACTCATTTTATTTAGCAACATAATATGTTTTCCAAACACGTTAATCACAGTATGACAAAGAAACATACTATAATATAAACAAAATATATATTCTTAAATGATGATGATTAAGTCTCTCAATAATAATTGGGCCTCACCGAAGCAAATGACGACATGCATATGTGATCAAATAATTATTGTGATATACTTTGCTCTGGTTAATGTTAAAATATAAATAAATCTAACTCTTTTATATCACCACTAACTACATTTCTTATGAGATTTACTTTTGACACATAGTCTATAAAGTGTGAGCAAGTACGTAGATTAAATATATCTGCTTATAAAACCTCCTTAAGTTCGTTACAATCAATTATACTCGGAATATTTCCACAAAACTAACATAGCAATACACGGCGAGAGCGGGCGCGACGCTCGGCACTAGGGTGAGTCATGCCTTTATCCCCACTCCTCGCGGACAGAGCGAGGTAGCGACGGACCGTTTTTAGAGCCCTACTTCAACCTGAGCGCGCAATCCAGGGAGTTATTATACATCGATGCAAAATTGACAGTTGTTTCTGCTTGTTTTCTTAATGCATTTTATAAATTTCTTCTCATTACAGAATGCGTTTAACCGTGGTGGCGGAAACGGAGGGGGAGGAAATAGAGGAAACTTTGGAAACGACTTCAATGGAGGAGGTGGAGGGGGTGGCGACTCAGTGGAAGTAAGTGGTACTTTAAACAAATTACATTTAGTATAGGCCTACCTTCAATGCGTAGTAGACAGATTTTGTGATGTTGATTGATTGATGATTGACAACAGTTGACCTAAGATGTTCAAATTAGCCTATATTGAAACCAACAATTTTTGGTTCAATAATTTGTTATCAAAGAACTGTAGAACTCTTTTTTTTCTCTGTTTCATTTAGTTCCAAAACATATTTTTAACTGAAGTGTTATAAATTCTGAGTATTTCCTGTTCACAATCTACACCTTGATCCACGTCTTGAATGTTAATGCTAGTTATTTATCTGAGAATCTGTGCTGCAATCGGTGCTTCTGTTGATAATAGGCTGTTTAATTATAATACTTCCTTCCCTGGCCATTTATACGCATGGTGATATTTGGCCTCCTCAACACTCTGCATCTACTTCATTTGTTCCTCACCTCTTATTCTCTCTTCTTACCTGATACTGATCTGACTCTCCTATCTTACCTGCTAATCCAATATGACACTGAGAACTAAAGTAGTACAGCTAGTAAAGAACAAAATGATTTTTTCCCATTTTTTTTGTGATTTTCTTTTGTGCACAACTTCTTTTGAATTGTACCATAATTTTCTCTCCTCCAAGACCTTTCACAAGAGAGCCACAATTGGTTTTCGGTACAGTATTTCAGTTTGAACAGATGTGGAAGCAAAATATCAGAACTAGATGTTTTTCAATTTTTTTAATATCTTTTTTGTTTTCCTCTCCTTCACAATTTCAAGTCCCGTACCACCACCTTCTCCCAAAGATCCTTGATCCCGGTGCTTCAATTGGACTGTGGGTAAAGTAGTTGACACGTCAATTTTCAGGTGGCAGTGCCTCGAGCGGCAGTTGGGGTTGTAATTGGTAAGGGGGGCGACATGATCAAGAAGATCCAAGGGGAGACAGGGGCCCGAGTGCAGTTCCAACAGGGCCGTGATGACGGACCTGGAGACCGACGGTGTCTTCTCACCGGAAAGCCAGAGCAAGTGGAAGATGCTAGGATCAGAATAGAAGAGCTGATTGACAGTGTTCTTGTGAGTTGCGTTTGTCTGATGCATGAGCCCTCCACTAACTTTGGAGCTCTGTAACACCCTGCGAAGGACCATTAAGCCTGCTCCCGTTCTTTTCTGGTTGATTTTGTTTTCTTCTCTGACTCGCTTTTTCTTTTATGAAACGGATTATTTTCGTAGTGGCTGATGCGTTTTTTGTATTTTATTCAGGTTAACATAATGGCTGTTATTTTTACCATACTCAGTTCCACGTTCACCATGCGGTACAGGTCTTATGCCGATAGTCGTGCTTGTGCTATCAAGATAACTGGAAAGTCATGTTTTTTGTCTTGAAGGTTGCCTAAATTATCCCAACAACCTTTGTAAAGAGCCATAATGGTTTTAACTTAGAGAAATTGGTGTTTTGATCTAATAATTACAATTTTGACTTTGTTATAGCCAAATTTAGTAGTAACAAGCGTGAGAAAACAAGGAAGCAATTTGAAGGTTCTGATCTTTCTATGACGGCTACTAACGCTGAAACTGCATTTGAAATATTTGTTTTATATACAGACTATTTACTGCAGAGTGAACTTGGAATGGAGTATTAATGGTGTTGGTTTGTATATTTATTCTAGACAAGAGTGTATAATTTGGATTACTATACTTATATCAGAGCCTTTAGACAGTTTTTTGTATTCTTAATTATTCGCCAACTTTTTTATGGTAATGACCTTAATTTTACTTTTAATTTCTACTTTTTTTTACTGTTTATGATCATTTTTTTTTGCATCTACTATTTCAACCTATAATCCTAGTAATATAATAGCATGATTTTTATAAATTTCCTATGCACATTGAAATTGAATTGAAACCTATCCATCTACCTTAATGAAGAATGCTAAATATAATGTAGGAAGTTGTTAACTGGTTATTAATGACTATTAGAACAAGAAACTTAATCAATAAAGTCAATACAATTGTACCAGATCCAAAATTAAATTATTTTAAACTGTGTTTTTGTATGTGGTTTGTTTTAACTGTGTTGAGACCTAAAATGTTTTTTTAACCTACACTAGGAACATGTTTATTTATAAATTCTGAAAATGGTAAAATTTGACTTAAGTTCAAGCAATTTACAAAATGCTATTAACTATGATTAAACTATTTTAGCAATGCAAATCAAATTCATCATATTCAAATGAATTATAAAAATATATTCAAAGCACAATATTTGATAAACTAGAATTATTTGAATAACACTTTATGGTAGCTAAAGAGTAATACTGACTAATGAGTATTTATCCTAAATTATTTCATCTTTGCAGAAATCTTCGTCATTAAAATATTAACGAGAGTGGAAAATTCAGATATTATTCAAACTCTGCCTAAAACTGTGAATCCAACAAATTTTTGGGTGTATTCAAAATCCCTAATTTTAAGCTAAAATCATGTTCATCGCAATCAAATTGTAAAAATAGAATGATTAAACTTAAGCTTTTACATTGTACGCCAAAATAACCAGCATCAAAATCATCATATTTTATTCACCCCAGGAGTATTGCAGGTACTTTTAAAAATTTACCCGATTTTCATGTCCAAGTTAGTAAATCAAAATGTATTATTTAAATAAAAATAAGAAATATTACATTATTTACCCATAAACAATACGTTTTACCATCTACACGAGTTTTTCAATGCTGGTGTTAATTCAAAAAGGCCTTGGTAGTTAAACCTCAAATTCAAAGTCTTGTAAAAAAGACACTAATTTGCTGGTTAGATAAATAAAAAAGTATAAAAAAAGTAAATAAGCTAACAGTATGAAAGTTGCAGTTGTTTAGGCTGCCTGTTTAAGAAAACTAGGTGATTTTTAAGAAGCTACTAATTTATGCAAAGTTTTTTTTGTATTGAGGGAGAGGAAAGGAATCGTTTTTGCGCTTCTTTGCTTGACCTTTTTTGTAAAACTGTGCTATTAGGTATCAAATTACTAAACCCTCATATAACCTTATATTAAAGGATGGCAATATTTCCACCATGATGTTTTTCATGTGAAGGAAAACTCCATAAAGATTGATAGAAAACCCGTTTTAAGAACTATTTAACCAGAATCATTTTACAATTAGGCTAAATATATAAAAAAAAATACCTAAAACTAAGAATGAATTAAACTAATTAATTAATTATGTGAAATACCAAATTCAAATGTATAAAAAATAATGTGGTTAATTGTTAACCATTTATGGTCATAATTTACTAACACATAAATATAGTATTTAGGTGATAAAGTTCAGTGTCTGTGGTTAATTCATTTATTGTAGCCATCTGAAAAACTTTTTGTGTAAGTATAAAACTTCAACAACAGTGAGATATTTGTTTATAACAGTATTTAAATAGTTAAAAAGGATATCTAAGCATCTGATAAACATTTTTAAGCCAATAAAATTATTTTTCTGAAGGCAATTTGTACGTTTCAGCGAAGAGACAGTGAGTCAGGTCGAGGAGGTGGTCGAGGAGGCGGAGGCGGAGGTGGAGGCCGAGGTGGTGGAGGAAGCTTTGACCGCATGGGCGGAGGAGGAGGACCACCGAGAGAATTCAACGAGCGAGGACGAGGCTGGGACAACAACGGGCGCATGGGTGGTCCCGGAGGCGACAAGACCGAGTCTACATTCACCGTCCCGGCCGCTAAGTGTGGTGTCATCATTGGCAGAGGTAATTTTATAATATCCTCACAATTTTGATGGAATCATTTTACTTATTTATAAACTTTCTTAATACTTCTTTAAAGAAAAATAATATGTTCACCAGTTTCAAACTAAGGTTAACTGCCGATAGGTATTACAAAAAAAATTTGTTATATGTATATAACATTATATAACATATTATATGCATAAAACATATATCTTGATATTTTGTCCTGATGCAGAACTTATTCAGAGAGTAGGTTAAAGAGGATAAAAGGTTTTTAAGATTTTCTCTCTAAAGAAGTACAACATCAGGACAAAATATCAGTGTTATGTTTTGTGTACTTTTATTGTGTCTCTATTAGCTTATTGGAATCTTAATTTTCTCAATTAAGCTAGCATAACTCCATTCCTTAGATAATACAAAAACTAGATCATATTTTTGCATCTTCCTAATTTCAACACTTAAAAATTGGTTCAGGCGGTGAAACGATAAAACAAATAAATCAGCAAACTGGAGCTCACTGTGAACTGGACAGGAGGCCTCCAGCAAATCCTGCAGAGAAGACTTTTGTCATCAGGGGCTTGCCTGATCAGATAGAAAATGCTAAGCGCTTGATCGCTGAGAAACTAGGAATGGTGAGTGACTTATAGTAAGAACAAATTAAGTTAGTCATGTAAAAAAACCTTAAGAAAATAACTTAGTACTGAGATGATAAATTTCAATATGGTGCCACTGCCAATAGAAGTTTGTATAAAATGTTGAACCACAGTTTCTTCAACTTCAAAGAATTTCTTTAAATATTTTACTTGAGTGTCCCAGTTGGTAAGTTTAGAATTGCGTTCAGGATAAAGTAAATTTGTTAAACCCATGTTTATTGCCCAACAATTGCTACCTTTTAGAGGAAAGCACACTTGGGTTGAAAATTAATATAAAAAAGGGAATGGATACATTACTGACTCAACCCAAGAAAAGAGTCCCAAGCAGTTGACAGAAAAAAAGATCACAAAACAATTGATTTGATATTTTAGAGAGTTCTTCAGAAGGCAGCCTCATTTCATTAGTAGAGGTAGAATGTCAAATTAGTTGTGTTGTGCATGTTCTATTAACTGTCTGGAATTCTTTTCTTAGGCAAGTTGTTTATCCATTTATTCTTCATTTTTGGTATGTGGTAATTGTCATTATTTTGGTTTCTTGGCGAATGTTGCCAATTATATAGTGTTCATGTACTACAATACGTTCTGTTTGTAGCCTGGACCACCGGGCGGCAATGCCGGGCCACCACAACAGTATGGTATGGGAGGACCAGGCGGGCCTCAACAACACTTTGGAGGACAGAACTGGCAAGCTCCAGGAGGCTTCCAACAACCCTGGCAGAACCAGTCTCATCCCCAGGATCCTAGTAAGTCTATCACAAGACTTAATCTGGTTAATAATCTGGATGCTCTCCACAATCGGGATGAGATAGCAAATGTTCAATTGCAAGAGTACATATACGGCTTCTGCAATCTCTTAAATGTCCCAAGATACCAATTTAAAAAAAATACCAAACCTTTACCAACAAAATAGGAATGTTTGAAACTAGGGTATTATTCATAAACATTTGTTATCACATAAAAAACTTGGTGAATCATTTAACAGACGTTTCTTGTAGGAAAACTAGTAATTAATTTTGAGCAGGGACATCATTGCTGTCTTCCCCAATCACAGCAATATTGGGAATTTTCTATCTTGCAATTTTTTGACTTGGCACTTGGTTATTTGAGCTTTTAGGTTTGCGTAAAAGCCTGAGTCGCACACTAGGCTATCTTAACTTGGCCAGATAACAAATCTCATCAAATCTGGCTGTTGTCTGACAACTATTCCCGGCAACATTTGGAACATTGCTTTGATGTCCATACACAAACTGATTGCCCCTCGGCCTAAGACCATTGATCCTTAGGCCTATCAACATCACAAAAGTATGCAAATATGACCATGAATATTAAATTGTGAATTTCATTTTCAAGTTTAATAGGGCTTAAATTTTGCTTTTTCAAAATTATTGCCTTTCTCGCTAAACCGGCTACTCAAAAAGTGTTCACTAATCGAACATTTTCGGTAATCCATCAGTGCTGAAATGTGTGCTGGATTAGGGCCAAGTTGTGTTGATGACTGATTGCCATGTTCACTGATGTGATGATTGCAGGTCAGGGAGCAGGACAGGTGCAGGTGAACCCTCAGACTGGTCAACCTGACTACAGTGCTCAGTGGGTCGACTACTACAGGTCGCTGGGTATGCATAGAGAGGCAGAGGTCATTGAACAACAAGCAAAGGCCAACAAGGTAACAAGAGACGACAAGAGGATAATTTTACAATATTTTTACTCTTCCAAAAACATAAAAAAAGTAAAGTATTACTTTACAAGTCTGAAAAATTCTATTTAGGCAAAGTCATTATGTATTCTAAATAGTTAATAGTATTGATTAAACTTCAATTTTGTTAGAAATATGTTTCAAGATGGCAGCGTTTAGAAACATTTAGATTAAGATTGTTGTATGTTTGGCAGGGAGCCATGCCGGGTGGAGCAGCGCAGGGAGCCCCAGGGGTAGCAGGACAGCCCCAAGCCCAGAGTCAGCCAGTAGCAGCAGCAGCCGCTCAGAACGGCCAACCCGACTACAGCGCACAGTGGGCCGACTACTACCGATCCATCGGCAAACTCAAGGAGGCTGAGGCCATTGAGGCTACGATGAAGAACAAGGTAATTTGCTGGAATGGCGTGGATAAATGTTCTGTGGAAGTAGGTTGTAAAGAATAAGTTATATTGTATAACCAGTGTTATTAAGAGTGTAGTTAGTAACGAGAAAATTCACTATTCATTAAAATTACCACAACTACAACACCAGATTTAATGATCATGTTCTCTAAGGCTATAAGACATGTATTTTCCTGTTTTAGGCTTATTGTTTTTAATGTTGATTTAATTTAAATTTCACCTTGTTTAATGTTTGTTCCTGAATGATGTTAACAAATACGTTTCAATTCTTACAACCTGATTTAGCTACATCTATCAAGGATTAATTACGTCTATTCTTGCTTTAATTCATTATTCATTAGTTATTGTTTTTACTATGTCATATTATGTGATGTGGATGTGAATGTGTTTAACAGCAGGCAGCAGTTGCGGCAGGAGCTGGGCCGCAGCCTGGTCCTACCCCTACACCAGCGGCTAACCCTTACCCTCAGGCTGGCTATGGCTATCCCCAGGCAGCCGGGGCCTTCTACGGCGGAGCTCCTGGCGCCCCGCAGCCTGGCGCTCCTCAACCAGCCGCCCCACAGTACGCTCAGTATCCCAACTACGCAGCCTACGCCCAACAGACTGACTAAACACATCTTGTCACTTGTAAGTATCCTCCTACTAGTCCATAGGTCTACTCGATAAATCGTATACATTGTGGTATTCTGTTTTTGTGGTACAAAATTAATGTGTGTTGAATTGTTGCTTCATTCTTAGTTTCAGGATGAAGCGACCGTTGCACTATTTTCGCCTGGTATTTCATTTCGCTAATGGTTTTGTTGAGATTATTGCTATGTTTGGTTTACACAGTTTCACTGTGTATGAACTTTGTCATCTGAATTAGTTTGATTTGTATATAGAGGATTATTAATGTGACAATGGTCGTGTAACATGCTTTAGAAATTATGTTTTAATATGGCAATTTGTTTGATCATGTTTGGTTTTAGTGATGAGGTTATTCATAATTTGGTTTATAAGTTTGTGATTGTCCATTGTAAAGGTCTAGAATGGCTCGTGATGTACAAAATAATCTTTTCAGTTTAATCAGAAAAGTATTTTTTAGATAATTGTGCTCTTATAATATGCATTTTATTATACCATTTTTGTTTAGAACTGTTCAAAAACATTTTATGATGAATTTTGGAATGTACATGTAAATCATCATTTCATAACTAACAACTGACATTTTATCATAAAATCCTATGACATATTTCAATGGTCTTAAATTATTTATAAAACACACATTTAACTCAATTTTAATGTATTCTGGCCTCGATATTTTTTTATGATTTGAATTTTAAAATTATTTTACCCAAGTTTTGGTACTGTGAATTTTATAAATTATTTATGCGCTCAATAATAGTTAATGATTTTCTTGGACTGTGTTTAGAAAGTGCATTTTTAATTTTTATGATTAAAGTAATTACAGTACACTAAAAAAAAAAACCGTTTTACTATTTGCATATCATTACTTCTATCAATATTTTCTAAATTTAAACAAAATATTGTGTGGAATAAATGTGTTGATATTTAAAAAATAACCTTCTTATTAATTGGCAGTAGCCTCGGGTTTGTACATTTTTACTAAGATAAATAGGCTTACGTCATTTCTGAAATTATTGGGGGATAAAATAGATAATAAACGTTATAAAAAAAAAACAAGTTAGTAATTCATGACCATTTAAAATTTAAATTTCTGAAAAGGGCATTTTCTGAATAGGATAATAAAATTGTTTCAGCATTATTTTATTAAATCGTGTCATCTTCTTATTTTCCTGGTCTATCTCATATTTTCTGTAATGTTGCACCGAGTTGAAAAAAATATTTTGAACAAAAAGATTTTGTTCATCTAGGCCTACTTACTTTCTTGATTATAATTGTACGAGTATAATTTACTAGTAATGGAGATAATTTTATACAAAACCATTATTACCAACCTCAGGTATACCACAATGTGATATAACATTTAAGCTGTATAAAGTAATAAGTTTTTGGCAAATAGTCGTTTTCCTGGAAGGTAAAACTAATAGGTTTCAATTTACAGCATGATTCATAATCCCACAACATTTAGGGCTGTAAAACGTTAAAAGGCTAGTTTCTCAAACGTTGCAAGAGTACTAGTATGACTTTGAACCATTTGTTAGCACATTTCAATCACAATCAATATTAAATTGGCTAAGGTAATTCTTCTTTGCAATTGAATCACCATGAGTCCTAGATGTGTTGTCGATAAAAAAATTGGCAGATAAATGAGCTTGTATCAAACACATTTAGTCTGTATTTATTATATTTATAGAGAGGAAAATGTGAAGAATTATTGCTGTACAGAGTTTGTGAGAATTGTAAATATTTGCTGTAAAATTAATATAAAATGTCACGTCTTGTGTATTGAAACTATTGTGCAACAGAAATCGTATTTGTACTTTCCACAAAAACTGTCTAAAGTGAATAATTTTGTTGAAATGTATGATCTGATATTTGAAATTTGTCGCACAAAGGTAAGTAAACGATTGTGCCAACCTTGTAAGGAAATGTATACATTAAAAATACCTTAGTTAAGTTAAAATTAAAGTAGGTTTTATCTAACAGGTTTTCAGGTGTTTTATACAGTACATAATATATATGGTGGTTTGTGTGTTTTGTGTGCATTCACAGGTCTTGCTGCTCTGTATAGCTGCTGGCACGCTGAGAAGTCATCTTTCTCGTCACCGTTCCATTTTAAATAACTTGTAACTGCAATTTTCTCCCTAATAGAACTAACGCAGTTTTCTTGTCTCTATATACTCTATATATAGGTTAATAATCTATCATTATGTTGATGTTTGTTTTTTTTTATATGCATTTAGGTTTTGTTATTACCTTTAAAAAGATATGCGTGCTTAGTAACATCAGTTGCGTTTATTCTATCAGCCATGAAGACTGGCGAAACAAATTTTAAGACACTTCCTCTATGTAAGATTTAAGATAATGTTTCAAATAAGGTCCACAATGATTTTTGTTGATGTTCAGATGTCAAATAATGTGTTAGTTTATAGATGAATAGGTAAACCGATTGAGTGTATCTGTATTTTGTGTTATTACATACTGTACGGAATATACATGTTTCTTGAATTTTCTTTGAAATCATCTCCCAAGATCCCTGCACTAATTCAACTGTAGGTCACAAAACTGAACTCCGAGACAGCCGACAAGATGAATACTTACTTTGACCATCAGATGTCTGTAAAACAAAGTTACCAGTAAGTATGTCACTGTTAGTTTAAGATGTACACCAAATCTGAAAAAGTTTTAGTATTATTATGGTTAGCATTCATTTCAAAATGTGTGTTGAAATTGCCAACAAGGTGCTATTTAGAATTGTTAAATCTGCATTTTAAACGTTTCCTTTTACTTTACATTAAAGATAAGTACATTACAAAATTTAAATCGGTGAGGTCCCTAGATAAAAACAATTTTTAGCAGGGGGTCATGGTAGTTAAAGGAAAAAAACTAATTTTTAAATAGTTTAAAATTGGATGACTCAAAATATACAAAACAAAAATGTGTAGGAACATTGGCGCAGTAATATAGCTTATAATGCAAATTAAGTAGTGAAAATGAATATGAGTACCATGCAATTGTTATTTAATCTCATAATTCATATTGTGATAAAATTCATGGTTTTCAACTTACACTACTGAATTTTCCTTTTTGTAACATTCAAAACACAAACATCATTCACACACACATTACAAAATCCCATTATAATTTTCACACCGAACTTGTAAATTATAACTACTTTCAAGACTACAGTAAACAAATCTAGTTGTTTCGTACTTCTATAAATCAATTTTACTCTGAACCCTGTTCTTTTCCGTAATTGACCGTATTTGACATATTTCTAGTGTCAAATTTGTTGAGTTCTGAAGTTGTTCCAAAAACTGATTTTTTCTTGGTTGGTATTGAGTTGTTTTATTATGTGTAATTTTATAGCTTCGAGGGCAATTGTGTATTGTGATTTGTGTTTTGCAACTTGGATTGTTTGGCATCTAAAATTTCTTCTTTTAAATGATGGAAATAACACATTCACTGCTTATGATGAATTTAGTAAATAGCTAGATGTAATACCCTTGCTTATTAATTAAAATTATTTTTAATAGATTATTTTTGCTGAAGAATAATCACATTTGATTCCTGAAAGCCTGAAATATTGTTGGATTTTATATTTCAAGGTAAATAATGAATTAACATATATTTAAATATTGAAAAGGATTATTTTCAAAATAATCCAATAAAAACTTGTTCTAAAAAACCAAAGGAAAGGGTGAACTTTTAATTAATGAATCTGTGGAGATAAAACTTACAGTTGATTGTCTTAAATGTGCGTGATACGATACATAATATGTGTTATTTGTTACGAGGGCTATCCAGAAAGTAGATTACGTTTTGGTCTGTATCCGCTAGGGGCGGGGCTAGCGCGACCATCTTGGTGTTAGTTTGTTATGCAGCTCAGTCGGCATCTAGCCGTGCTAGTAAGAGGTCTCTGCTGTACTCCGTTGAGTTACTGTGACTGTTTAAAATGTCTGTGTTAATTAAAAATACCGCCAACTGTGAAGTGTGTGCAAAAAAAAAAAATTAATGGACTGTTTGGTTATTTATTTATTCATTACATGTCGCTGCATCAATTGACAGGACATAGTGTCATACAGTTTGGTAACCAAACTTTTCGGTTATGATCTTGTGCATCAAACTTCGCAAAATTTGTGGAAAACCCAAAGAGGGTTCTGTTATTGTGAACGTAAGAGTTTACGGACATAGGCATCGACTTTTTCGACAAGTTCGGCAGTCACAATGCTGGGTCTTCCACTTCACTCTACGTCGTGAACGTTAGTTTGGCCATTTAAAAATTTGATGACCCACTGACAAATCCCACCTTCAGTAATAATGTTTTCCCCATAAACTTCACAAAGTTGCTGATAGATTTCTATCGGTCAACAGTTTTTTGCAATCAAAAACCTTATAACTACACGCACTTACAGTTTGCGGCATTTTCAATTAATACCGATATTTTAAACTGTCACAGTAACTCAACGGAGTATAGCAGAAACCTCTTACTAGCACGGCTAGATGCCGACTGAGCTGCATAACGAACTAACACCAAGATGGTCGTGCTAGCCCCGTCCCTAGTGGATACAGACAAAAACGTAATCTACTATCTGGATAGCCCTCGTATATCGGAACAGTATTTTAAATACCGAATACCGGTGAACAATTTATCGATTGCTTAAAACGTGGATCGACGGTTTGCTCTGCTGTACTGTGCTACCTAAATTAAATCACAAGGTTTCTAACTTTAAATCTTAACAACATTTAGGTACAGGAAAAATACCATCTTGATGCACTGTAATAATGGAAGACGTCGTCGACCAACATATTCACACTTGTACTTCAAACTTTTACATAATGGTAAACATATGGTGATTAATCCCGACCAGACACACAGTTCATAATTGGACCCAAAACTGGGTATTGTTAAGTTTTTGGTTGATATCAAAGTTGATTTTTTTGGCTCTTTTCATTTTAATATTGTTGTTTAACCACCAAGAGCTTTGAACATCTGGTACGGGTACAACGATTTCATTTCATGAATCAGTTAACAAATTATCATGATGTTGATAACTTCACTGTGCGTAAGAGATTTTTTTTACCGTGGATTACATCAAGTCACAATCAAGACATAATCTAGCTCAGTATGATAATGTATGGGCAGTTGTGAACTCGCCAGTGTCTAACCAATGGCTTTGAAACAAGTTCAATGTTTCAAGCTTAAAACTAAGTAATGGATATCATATTTACTTACTTACTTACTTGTTCAAAATAGTTGAACGTTTGAATATTGGGGTTCCAACAATTTGAAAAATTGTACATGTGTTGTGTAGATTATAAATTGATGAAATAAGGATTTAGAAAATAGCCTACAGTAGCATCCCTCTCATTTGGATTCATTCAGACATCTTTTTACTTATGTACACTTGTGCAACTATTTATAACTAGGTAAAGAAACAAGTTACAACCTGGTTTGTTTATTGCTGTTTGGTAAGTAAGTGTATACCCTTTTTGTTTAGGATATTACTCCAGTTTATTCATTTAGCATACAATGGTTTTGAAATGTATATGGACTTAATGGTTCAGAATTTAATATTTGGTTTTCAATATATATATTTTTATTTTATGTTTGAAACACATGGAAGCTCTCCGTTCGGTGTTACTTTTGAAGTCTACTTGTGACTTGCTTATAAAAACATCAATTATCAATTATCAATTAGTTAAGATGGGGACGCCACTATGTGCGTATTTTAACCCAAATATGAGTGAAGGATGAGTGTAGGATGAGTGGCGCGATCATGTAGTCTTGTTAGTGACTAAGGCCGACATATTCCTTAGACACAGCTGTTAATTAATAGCCCATACAGCTAATGGCAACTAAGGGACCTACAGTTTATAGTGGAATCCGAACCACATTTTTCCTTGTAATTTACGAATTGGTCTAATTATCAGGATAGTACTGCGGATAGTCGTAGTACTCACTAGTGCGGACGTTAATCCACACCAGGGAGCATCGCATCCACAGTGCATCCCTATAAATATCCATGAACATCATGAAGAAGCATCTAGTATAATTATCAGAATGTCACTTTGAAAGCTAAATTTAATGTTGTCAAGCAGTAGAAAAATCAGGTTAAAACAAGGTGCACTTTTTAGCTTCTTCACCTGGTTGGTTCTAAATAGAACAAAGGTCACTTAAAAAATTCCTCCTCATAGGCCGATTCTGAATACAAATTTTAAAATGTTTTTACTCAAAACAATATTTGGAGAGAATGAAGCAGAAGAACTATATTTACACTGAATTTTTTCAAGAGCAACTTCTAAAATATTGTTTCCAGACAAAATGGAGAACAAAACGCACAAAACATTCAATAGGTTTGGTGTTAAAAGTAACTCCCTAAAGAACCAACAATGTAAAACAGAAAAAAAAAGGCAAGCGCCGTATCTGACCAGCCAAGGAGAGAAAACTAGGGAGGTTGTCATGATTTCACCATTTCCAAACCAGCTGGGCGTGTAGTTCTGAAACAATAAATACCCCCGTCGCAGCAAACCTGCAGACTAAGGTAAAACATGAAGTTTAATAAGTACCTAGGTTTGCTGCTACAGGGAGGGTAATAAAGTGTGGTTTTTAGTAGAATAATAGCTTAGCATTAAATAAATAACTTACCAAGTTTGATCACAATATCCATAAACAATCAAACTGCAATAGATACAATATTCTCCATAAGAATAACATAGGCATTTTAAATTAAAATTTTTTTAAAAAATTTAGTCCGACTCCTCGTTTAACTCAACCGTGCCATGGGCTTACGGCTACAATGTAATCGTGATTTTCACCTTCTCACGCAATCGCAGCAAAATCATGTTTATCCCCCGCATTCACAGAAATATCACATTCCGTGATTGCGGCCAAGCTCAGTAATGGAAAGATTATTGTCTTCAGCAATCTCAAAAGCATTATAGTAATCCCGGGTGATTGCGGCCAAATTGAATACATCTCTTGCGGTAACGGAAAAATTGTTGTCAGTTACCACGATTCTGGAAAAACCCTAGACAAATCCCTCAATCTTGGAAATCATCATTATCGTCTTCAGCGATCGCTGAAGCTGCTCCTTGGATAAACCAACCTTTTCATTTTTCCGGCCAAGGTCAAGTAGGTGACAGATTATGTTAGGAACATAATGTATACTGGGTGTGCTATGTAAATATTTTCTTTGAGATTTTTGACTGTTTATATATTTTCATCGAGCTTGGGCTTTATAAAGATTAGAAAGAATAAAGAGTTAAGGGAACTTTATAGAAGACCTGATATTGTAGCTATAATTCGAAGTAGGAGAATCAGATGGCTTGGGCATGTTAAAAGGAGAGAAGAAGATAACTGTATAAAAAGTGTGTTAAGAGGAAAGCCAGAAGGAAGACAAAACACTGGGGAGACCAAGATTGAGATGGGATGACCAAATTTGCTTGGGACGTCAGAAGACTGGGAGCAGGGGGGACGTCCTAGAAGAAAGAGAGGCACCTTGTTG